CAGGAAAAAATTGCTTACATTTCTACACTCCAGAAATGAGTTTTAGTTGAAAAGCCAGTAATTTGGGGAGAAGTGAAAGATGGGCAAAAGGAGAGGAGAAAATATTTGTTGTGTAAACAAAAGTCACTAAAAGTATTTTTCCATTCCAATGCAAACTTTTTTGTATTTTCACAAAAAAAAAGAAGTTTATGAAAACACCTAGATAAAGTCATTTAATGGGAACTAAAATTTGCTTTCTTTGTATTTTCTTTTTCACTACTCTTAATGCTAACGTTACGGGAAATGACTTTAGCATTTATAATTGACTAATGAAACAACAGCCTCCACTTCTCGATAGCCAGGTGAGGATGCCAAAAAGCTGTCTGTAACAAACAGCATTCAGAGAGGCATTTATGAATGGGTTTCAAGCTTTTCTCCAGCTCCTACACAGTCTCATGTGTACTGAGAGTCACCAAGAGTTGCTACAGAGAGACCAAGTGTCAGTGAGCAGAAGCATGAGCCATGTTCACGTGTGGGGATAGTGTTAGTCAAGACTGAAGAATTTTGACCAAGCAATGTGTCTTGTGGTAGTTGCCAAGGGACTGAAAATGAATGTTGAGAATACAGTATCTACCTAAGTGGTGGATAGCATCACTAAATACAAATATATAACATGGTCATAACTTTAAAGTGATAGTTTTTCAATCTTTTTTGGTTATTAACTTATACTTGTCATGGTGCTGTTATTTTTTAAGTACAAGTTCATTAAGCTTTTCAGACCAAATATGTTCCATTGACAAAGTGGAGGACTTCCTAAAAGGCAGCTTCTGTACTTACTCACTGGAAATGCTTATATTACTTTTGAACACCCTCATGGCAAAGCATTAATCTTCTCAGTTGCAAAAGTACTTTATTTTTGACATAACTTCAGAGTTACAGATTCCATCTGGCTGTTACTGGAGGGATGTGCCCTCATTACAATTACCTTTTTACATTTTTTTCATCAAGACCATGAAAATTTATTGTAGTTGAGTTTTCTGTTAATTAGAGATGATTTAAAGAAAGCAGTAGGAAACTGTTCTGACAACGGATTGCTATGTTATATACACCTTATTTCATTATAAAATGAGTTTGGATTTAAAAGTCAAAGATCTAGGTGATTTCTGAATGGCCTCAATCCTCTGCAGCTTTGCATGATATTTTAAACAGGTTTGTTACATAAAGACATACAAAAAATACGTCTGGCTGTGAAGGCTTGATTCATATATTTATTGTTTTCAGAGAGGGTTAATACAAAGTCTTCTGCTTTCCCTTGTTTTTGATACCTAAGCTGAAAATGCCTTTTCAGAGAATAAGCAATATTTTTGAAGACATTTCACCTCAGTTTTTTCATGCATAACAAAATGCTAGGACTTGCTTATAAAAGGAGATCCACTTTGTTTTCAAGTAATTCTTCTGGCAAAAAACATTTTCTCACTTTTAGTGAAGTTCTTTTCTTTTTTTCCTTATGTAGTGATTTTGGTTTTCCTTTGTTCTCCCTATTTGGTATGCACATGAAAGCGGATGGTCTGTCGTTCTCTGGGAGCAAATCCAGATGACCTAAAGGACCCAGTTAAAATTAGTATTCCTCGCTATGTCCTGTGTGGGCAGGGAAAGGATGAACACTATGAGTTTGAAATCAAGGTAAGTGCTTTTCAGTTGCTTCTCCTTAACGTTTGGGTTCTCTGTACACTTGTTGCTTGCATTTGTACAATGGTAACATCATAGTAGCAACAATAATAGAAAAATGCCTTTTGTTTAAAACCAAATAGTTCCTAGTTTGCTCTGTCCAGCTGTTGGTGTTCACTGTGACAGCATCACAGTTAGCAAAGATGGAAATGGCAACTCAAAACGCACCTGAGAATCTGCAGATTCCAGAAATCACCTTGCTAACCCCAGTGAAATGTAGTTTTTGTTTCCACAACTGGAAGTTTTGGTTCTGTCTCTTTCCTTTATCTAAGTGGCCTCAGTACCACTGAATAAGAGAGATTGTGAGAAGGCACGCACAATACAGGATACTTACAAAGACGGGTGTTTTCCAAGTGGATCGATTGTACACAGGAGGCTGATGGTCAGACTCCTGGGGTGAGGTTCCAGATCCAATGTCAAATAATTCAACTGAAGGTGTTGCTGACATGAGGATTAAATGCATATTGGTTATAGGAAAGCCCTTTATTGAGATGCGAGTGTCAGGTATAGAGAATTATTAGACTTGAAATATTTACCTGTAATAATGAAAGCATAATTAAAGTATTTTGCACATATCCACAACAAAGGCTTGATTCCTTTCTGGCTCTCTTCATTGTTCTGATTCTTCCCACCCTGCTTTTCCAAGGTCTTGCTTCTCTAAACTGTTATCTGCTTCCCCTCCATTTTAGTGGCTTCCTCAGTTGATTTTCTGTGAAGAAATGCTGGAAAAAATGCATATTCATTATGTTTCCTCTGGTACTAAGCCAGTGTTTTTTTCAAAGCAAGATGTGAGGTCTAATTGGAAATGTGCTCTTGGTGCATGTGGACGTGTAGCATAACTGATGTACATGGCATCAGAGACAGAATTGGCAGCCTTCTTCCCTGAATGTACTGCCAGATGCTTCATTAGCTGGTGTAAGTTGGAGGAGTGACCTGCCTTCACGGCATGCAGGACCATTTTTGAGCTGTGCTCACATTCTCTTTTGTGAAGGCTTTTACTGAGATGGGCGATCTTTGCTCTGTTTGAGCTAATTAAATTTTCATCTCGAAACATACTGCACAATTTGTGGATGGAATACTTGCTTTTGCCTTTTGAACTTTGAATTTCCTGGGGCCAGTGAAAGCCCAGAGCCAAAGAGATGTTGAGAGAAGAGTAAGTGCGTACAGAACTTCCCCAAGGACTGTTCTAGCTGCCAACTGTTTTCAGCATGTGGGACTTAAACTGGGTAATGGTTACTGAAGGTAAATATAGTAAAAATATATTTTATCTTTTCAGTAAGTTGGTGGATTTCTTTTCCAAGTATTCTCCCTTCATCCCTAAAACCCATGTAAGCATCTGCGAGATCTTAGGATGAAGGGGCAGTTAAAGAGTACATGCAGGAGGACTCGGACTTACCTGGAAGGAAATGTAATAGAAGAAAAATGTTGGAAGGGGGTGGATTTTGTTAGCCAGGAAAGAACAGGGTGCTCTGGCTAAGAGGGGTGTATATGGGACAGCTATTCTCTTCTGTCATACTTGCCAGTACCATATTTTTTCTCTCTCTCCTGTGCTATTTCTCAGCTGCCTCTGAAAGAAACTGCTGCTTAAATAACTGCTTTGATGAAGTTCAAAGCAAAGAAATGGGTGACATACAGGGTAGGGAATGGGCTATCACATTAATAATTGTATTCAATTGCTGGCAACTTCCTTAGAGGAATATATATTTCTACAGAAGCTCCTACGGACCTTAGCTTGGCAGTCTTTGGGATATTTCTCGTAGTCATTCCCTTATACAAATTGATCAACTGTTGATGCTTTTTCTTTTGCTTCCAGGTCTTTGTATGCCACAGTGGGCTGCTTTTGCTCTGGTCAGGATTTGGCTCCAAGCTACAATCCACAGACCTTCCACGAACTTCTCTATTTTAAATCTTTCTCCTGCAGAGCTCCCAGCTCTACTTTCATCTGTATGAATCTTCAGCTGCTGATACTTTTATTCTGTGGGAAATCAGAATACATGGTATAGGGAATTTTTTTTTGCCTTAAAAGTCAGGAAAGTAGGAAGACAGGGCAGGGAGAAGAGAAAGTCTATCTGTTTATTTCATCCCTTCTTGATGGGCTAGGATACAGTGTCAGTTGTTGAAATAATTCCTTATTTCTGCCTTGCTTTACTTTGCTCAAGTTTATTTTCAGGTGATCTTATATCAGAATATGTGTTAGTCTTGAGGAAGGGCTGGGTCGCTGTTAATCTCGTTTCCTTTGCTAGTTCCCAAATAAGCTTTCTTCACCAAGGTTTCTCTTGCTCTTGGGAAAATGGGTAGCTGACCTATCTGCATATAACAGCATTTAGAAATCTGGTGGAGGGACAAGTCAGTTGATGATTGAGTTGAATCATAAGACAGTCCCCAAACCTTTGAATCCTAGTTATCTCAGAAGTATTTTCTTCAGCAGATGTTTCTAATCATTGTGTTTGTAGTTAAATCCTGGCATATTGCTGTATAGAAGGACAGATAGAATAAATTTCTGTGTGTAACAAATGCATGAATTTCTTCTTGTGACATGCAATAGCAAAGATTATTTCCTCTATATGCCAAAAGAGAGAGAGTTCAACTTTTCTTGGCAGCATTGTGGTCAGTTCGTAAGTCTCTCAACTCTAACATACCATCCAAAAATACTTTCTTTCGGTGCAGGTTCAGCATCTTGTCCATCTGGACATATATGACCTTTGGGAATGGGCCAGCAAGTTGGTCTGTCCACTGAGGTTCTTCCACTGGATACAGATCCTACTTTAAGATGTTGAGTGACTCCCATGAGAACCTATTGGAGAGAGTTCAAAATAGAAAAAACCCTATGCTTTATTAGAGTTAAGGTAGAACCTTCTTTTGCAGCAAGAGATGTCACGGAGCTGTTTGTGCTGGTCTGCAATTAAGTATTCAGTAGGAATAGATACATTTCAAAAAAAGCTTCAATTTGAGCGATAGTTTTATATGTTGTCTTTAAAGACATGATGAAACAGTAGTAACTTAATCAGGTCTAAACATATTTATGTTAGAGCTGAATTAAAGTACCAGAAAACTATTCTTGTATTCTCATCTTCCTTTCATGTCATTGTGATACGCAGAATATTCAGACAAGGCTGTGCTAGAAACAGCGTGTGGAAAGAGCTTTTGCGCCGATAAGACTGTTGGCATCTGTTACAGACAGTGCCTGTGGTTGCAGACAGTGCCTATGGATGGCAGAAGGAGCAGCAGGCCACCAGGGAAGGGGGGACTCCAGCTCATAAAAGCACACAGGGTCTTCCAAGAGTGGGTGATGGAAGCAAAGCCCGGAATCAAGCACTGCAAGGGATCCTCTGACAAGAGGGAAAGTTGTAGATAAGCCTGCTCATTTTTATTCAGCTTTCCCTAGTTGTTCTGACTTCTCTCATTTTATTTATCCTGTTTGATACTCTTTCAAAACTGGCTTTCTTGTGTTTCAAAGCCTTTCAGTCATCTCCAACAAGTTCTCTATAGGAGAAGGATCAGGCGGATGCACCCCAAAGCAGTGCATTTTCCAGGTCTGGTCACAGTTCTGTTAAGCCAAATGCTGTGGTGTGCTCAAAATGTCCATGTTTCTGGTCAAAGTTTCTTTCTGGAGTAAAGCAGAAGCAGTGCTCATTGATACGTAGTTCTTAAAGAAAATGATGCATGCCCTGTATCCACTTAAATTAGAAAAAAGAAAAAGCCTAATCTTCTCTCAGCTCTATCAGATTAATACCCTCAATAATGAAAAAAAAAAAAAAAGTCTCAAGAAATTTTTAAGCAAGTTTTAGCTTCTCAGATGCTGTATTCATAGACAGTGTGAGGAACAGTTTCAACAAGGCCCATTTGGAGAAATAGGAATTTTCACAATTACTGTAGACAGTTTAAGCAGCCCAGATAAGCAAGCTGAGCATGTTCTGTTCTTTCTGATTGCTTCAGAATCAGGTGGAATATTTTTGTTTGTTTGTTTGTTTTTTATCCTCTATGGTTTTACTTCTGTTTCTGTGGGGCAGAAGGGGAACAAATTCTCTTACGTATTTTACAGTGAAGTAAGTAGAAAATGTCTGTTTCTTAGGTTATTTTCTGTCAGTCACCATGCAGGAAAAAAGTTAAGGAGACAAGACTGTAGAATCTCTTTTCAAATTTGTAAGTTTTACATAGGAAATAGTGTGCTTGAATAAAAAAAAAAAGTCACAATTCTAAGGCAAGTCTCACATAAGTGCCCAGATAAGGATATTTTGAAAATTTGTCTTACAGGTTTACTCAACCGTATTTTTTTTATTAAGAAAATATTTTACCTATTATATTAGCAAATTACAAGTAAAAAGTAAAGTGCTTTTCAAATTTGATTTACTTGCTACTGTTCAAAAAGATAGGCATATGTCTCAGTCCCATATTTACAGAGCCTGTATAGTCTGTCATACAGCTTTTTTAAATGGGGGAGAAGAATCCCAGACCAAACTGATTGGATCAGCTGTAGAAGTAAAGGGCCCTGTTTTGGAAATGCTATTGCTATGCCAGGTGTGCTGTAATTCTCCTATTGATCCTAATGTTATTGTTGAGCTTTGGGGACCAGTTAGAATTTTGTTTAGCTTTGGAATTCATTTTCCAATAACATCAGCAGTAACAACAATAAAATTTTGCAATGCATTACCTGCTGGCCTTGTTACAAGAATTAGGAAAGTAAACGAAGAGGATGACAGGGACCACATCAGGTCAAGCCAAGCCACCAGGGAATGCTCTAGAGAAAATCCTTCAGTTCTTAGGCAGCATAGATACATGGCTTTGCTGTTTTCCTTCCTGTCCATCTCTAACAAGTTGTTTATTAAACTTTATAGAAGAAAGCTAATACATAATTGGCTACAGGCAATTTGATTTGGGTAAGTTTGGTCATTGGCAAGCTGACATACATGCTCTTCCCTAGGCTGTGGGGCTGGAAGAGTCCTGGATGCTTTGTGCTCCCCTAAAGGCATGCTTCTGTGAAAACCCTAGGGGGAAAAAGGTCACTTTTGATTTAACATCATGTACAAATTAAATTATCACAGCAAAATTTCATGACTCAGAAATATTAAGATACAGAATTAAAGCAAAAAGAAAGCAGAAATAAGCAATATTTTTATTTTATGGTTATCCATTGCACTCTTATGTTCACTTGAACATTTAAATCACAAAGCCCTTGAAAGTAATTATTCAGAACAAAATGGTTAATTGGTTCATCAACATCAGTATAACATGCATATTCCTGCATAGTTACTTTTTTTTTGGTTATGCATGTTATGCCTATGCATGTTAAATCCATTCACCTGATTTGTAAATTTAGAGAAACTATTAACAATATATTGAGGGAGGGCAACTGCATGATTTTTTTTAATGAGGAAATATAATCCATCATGCAGATGTCCTAGTAGCAGCCAAGCTTATTGGTGGCATGAATGTTGAATTTAATCAGAAATAACAAATTTGCATTGTGGAGATGTTGCTAGAAGAACCTAAGTTTTAATATTTGTGAAAGGTATTGAGAAGGCAAATTTTATTTACTTACATATTTTAGTTAAAAGTAGAGGTAAAAATAGGAAAAAACCCTGTAAAACCTAGTTCCTGATGTCACAAGACACAAAATCATTTTTGGTTTCCAAAAAACTTCCCCAGTTTCCCTTTTCTGTATGCAGCAGCAAAGGCAAGAGGGATGGAGAAGGGTGGACCAGGGATGAGTTTGTTGGGAGCATGGTGTACCAGTTGTCAACAGTGGTGCTTGGATGCTGGTTTTCTCTGTCTTTATTGGTCTGATTTCTTTTTCTCCTACTGGTTATCCTGCTCCATTACAACTTCCTTTACCTCCATAACTTTCTGATATGCTCAGTAGTGAGGGAACTACTTGTTAATTTTAGGAGTCACTTTAAGATTAAAAAGCCTATGTCTTCATGAAAAGTGTTTTATGAAAATGCTTATTTTTCATCTTCATGCATAAAATGATAGCTCGGCAGAGGTAATATCACGTATTTGACCTGTGAGATTAAAAAAGCAACAATCTTTTCAGGTTTAGGCAACACCAGTTGGCTTTTTCCAGCTCTGCTAGTCGGTGTAAAAGAATGCCTGCTCTCCCTGCAGCATTGCTTCTTGGTAGCCTTGGATCACCAGAGCTACAGAAAGACTTCACTGTAAAATCAAAGGCTCCAGTCACAGCACTTTTATGACTCACTTAAAAATTCCTTTCATTGATTCAGGCAGTGAAAAATTTTCTTTCCCTGAAATTTTTGTGAGTTTCTCAGTTTCAGTGAGGATTTAATGAATAACTGATGGTAAGGTTGGCTTGCTTTCCCCCTTCGCTCCTGTTGCTATGCACTTTATTCACAGGAGTAATTCTGTTGATTTTAATGAAACTTCCTGTATAAATGGGATGTTCATCAACGTGTTGATGACATGGGCCAGGAGTGTTTTGTAGGAATATCTTCTACCGAAAGCCAGCATGTATAATTTTTTTACCCTACAAACTGGAATCCCATCCTAGATGGTAATGAGCTCTTTGTGCCTGAGAAACATGTATTTATTATTTGTCTGTGTATCTGTGTATATGTGTGTGTGTATGAGAATATACACGTTTCTATGAATATATAGAGGCTACACTTGCTTGTGCTGAGTGTTATTCATTCATTGGTGGAACACCCACTGATTGTAATGCTGTGAGCTGCATAGCTGCACCAAAGAATGATTTGGGATATTTTAATGTGTTTACAGCCTTGTCAAACCACTCTGGAATAAGGAATAAATGCATTCAGTTTTTTTGCTTTGCAATCAGTGCTTCTTATTGAATACAGTTCTGTCATCATAATGAAAAAAAAGTAAACCTATAAAAGCTTATGAATTTAAGAGAACTAAGAATTGTCTGTTTTAATATCCTAACTTTGTATACTGAGTGGTTTTTAGTGTTATACATTGTGTGGTTTTCCTTCTGTTTCTTTTTATATTGTCTGATATAGATAACAGTCCTGGATGAGACATGGACAGTATTCAGGCGGTACAGTCGTTTTCGGGAAATGCATAAAACTCTAAAACTCAAGTACCCAGAGGTAAGTTTTGGTAAAACTTCTGCAGGAAAGGGTGGAGATAGAGACTTGAAAATAAGTTTTCTGAAAGATGTTTACTCAAACCCAATATTCCTCCCAGACGTATGCTTCTAGTAAGACTGGCAAGCCCTTCAGCAGTTTAAAGCTCCAAGGCTGCTAGACACAGGATGGATGTTGCATGCTGTTGCTACAGTGAAACTGCGACTCCATGTGCTGCCTCTAGCCATTGCTGTTTCGTTCATTGCAAGATACTTGCAGTCAGATCATGTCATCCTGACAACTCCTCATTTAAAAGAAGAGCGTTGTTCCACAGATACCTTTTTGTAATAGTGGCTTACAGGTTTCTGCAAAATGGAAAATTGATCTTTCTGACCACCTCAGAGACTCTGGGCATTCAGGATATGAGGAGCTGTGCCTGACAGAGCTCTAGTTCATTGGAGTGAGCGTTTGTAGAATTACAGTTGTTGGTTTCCCCATCTAACTTTTAATTATTAACATTTTGCTTCCTTTCCACTTATTCCCTTGGATATTAGAAGAAATAAATCATTCAAGCAATTGAAGTGATCCAGATTTGAGAGTTAGTACAAGTAAAGAAGCCTGGGACATATATTCATGGGTAATATATTAAAAAACATTAATATGCTCGAGAGAGAGAGATGCAGTAGTGTGCGAACGCTTTCTTGGTCTTCATTGGCATATTCTTTAAGCTAAAAACTAATTGAGCATGGAAAGACCTTGACTTTTAAAGAATAAAATATGTAGACCTGTGTTTTGTGGAGGTTCTGGGACTTAAGATCCATTCCAAAACAGTATGAAAACCAGAAATTGAAACTACCATGCACCAAATATTTAACAAACAGATTAAAAAAAAAAAAAAAAAAAAGAGAAAATAAAATTAAGTCATCTTTTCTGACTGTCAGAAAATTTTAAAAGGTAAAAATGAGTTTTGAATGGAAAATTGAAATGTTCTCTTTCCACAAATGCTTTTAAAAATATTACTTGTGGATGAACATCAGTATCATATTTTTGACTTGAATGAATTGCCATTTCCTCTTGGATCTTATAGTCTGTCAACAGTACCCTAATTGTATCTAACTCTTGAAAAAGCAGCTAGGCAGTCGTCTGGTTGAAATAGAAAAGGACCACCTGGAATGCCTCTGCAGACAGATCTTCCCCACGTAGGACAATGTGTTTGAGTGGCCTTTTTCAGAGTCCATTATTGGTCCTGACAGTACATTGAGGAGCAATTGAATTTGGCTTTTACGGTTATGTCAAAGGGAGAGAAACTTCTTTGTGGTGTGTAGTAATCAGGTTCAGGAGGAATCTTATGTTCTTAAAGCCATTATTAAAATGTCCTGTGTACTGCAGCATATTAATGTCACTTTTTTTGTATCAAGCATTTGTGACTCACAGTAAGAATTCGGGCTTTTTTGGTGTTACAGAAGGGAGTAGGGGGGTTATTGTTGTTTTGCTTGTTTTGAAGAACCATTAGAACATGGGAGTGGTATTACTAGGTCAAAATGAAGTCCAGCATCCAAGAGCATACAACTGAGAAAAAATCCTAGCCTAGAGCAGAGGTACATAGTTCTCTTTATCTTAGAGTCTTCCCAGCTGAAGTTGTTTTCATTGCAATCAATATTTTTCCTGTGGATTTTATCTGTATTTTCTGTTCTCTCTACCACTCACTTTATAGGCAACTTTATACAGGCAATATATTACAGTATTATAATTATAATATATTTTGGTTTGCTGCTTTCTTTTTTTAGCTTCTTCCCTCTGTTTGCGGTCATGCTTGCAAGGTCAATACATTCCCTAGTTTAATCTGCCAGTTTGTTTCTTATTGACACTTCTGTGTTGCCATATGTCTGTGTCTTAGGTAAACTTACTGAGATTCACAGCATGTCCATTAACAGAATTATTGGTTTAACTACACAGATTAATACATTTCTCATTTCCACATAGGAAACATGTTATAGTATGTTTTATTGAGTTATCTGTTCCCTTCTCAACAATTTTTGTAAGTTGGGGCAAATACCAAGTCTTGTAAGTTTGCCAGTATAACTTTCCCTAAAATATGATACTCTTTGGAGAAGCATAGTAAAGTGTTTGGGCTTCTAATATACTTGAAAGAACTGTTCAGTCATGTTACTTTCTGAAACAAGTGATCTCTAGCTTTAGTAGTATCTTCTTCCAGCCTTTATTGAGCCTCCACTTCACAGCAGCCTTCAATAAATTATCAGCAAGGTTCAAGTATGCATATCTTTACTAAGTACAAAGCACACCAAAGTTCAGGAGAAGTGAGATAAGCATTTGATCATGTCATCGACTGCTTTTAGATAGGTACTGTCACTTAAGTACCTGTTTTGGAAACTCTTGCTAGCACTGATGCTGTCCATTCTATTTTATGTAGTACAGGCTGTTAGGTTGTGTCCACTCCTGCTTTAAGACTTAGGGCACCACAGGGAAACGTCAGATTTGTGGGTAGAAGAAACCTAGCTAACACGCAGTTCATTTCTTCTATTCATCAGCATTTCTACAAACTACTGCGCCCTTGTTTCTCAGAGGGGAAGAGCACATTGTGATGGATGGAACACATAATGTCACGCGCTGTAGTAAAGATTTGGTGTTTGTTTTCTTTGAAGGAATTCCATTATTAATGTTACATATGTGAATGATCAATGGCTTCCCGTATTTCTACCTTTATTTAAAATAGCCTTAATTTATTATAATTTTGGATTAGTTCTTCACCGTGAGTAGGAGTTTGGTTTGTTTGGTAAATTGAAATAATCTGTCTGCTTCTGCTCATCTGTCATTGACCTAATTTGGGATTCACCACGATGCTAAAATGCATTTTAATACCAAAGTTGGCGAAGTTGTGTCCTTAGTTACTGTGTATTATTCCAAAGAAACTTGATCCTGAAAAGCAATGTTATCAGAATCCATCAGAGTTGAATTTTATTTTGCATAGTTCACCTTCCAACTCTAAATTAATATTTATAATGAACAGTGAAAATACAGTGGATGTGTTTAATGTATGAGTGTCCTGCTTTTAGAAGTGAACTTTACAGCTCATTAGTTGCTCAGCTCTGAGTTACTACATCAGTATTTTAATAATTTGCTGATCTCGCATTTCGTGTTGCTGCCACTGAATTCCCAAAGGAATGTATTGGCAAACTGATTTATTGAGAAGGTTTTAAAAAAAAAGAAGAGTATCTTTTTCAGAAGCAGAAACTGTCTAATGTCTTCCAGTCTTACAATATACCATATATTTTATATACCTGCACATTTCTTTTAATGTAATTAAGTGGTTGCTGACAACTGGATATCTAACTGAAATGTGTCACGTGCAAATTTTGAAAGACGAGATTGTGCCAGAGGCAGGTAAGTACCAGCATTTTAACAGTGCCTATTTTTTTTAAGTCTGCGTGATTGTCATTTGCCCAGCTTCAGCTTTCTTATGCTGCTAGATTGTTAATGACTCTCTTATTATTTCTGGAGTTTTAATTAAGACCATACTTGGCTTTCAGTGCAGTAGTGTCTGTAATGAATATACTTTTTGTTTGTCATTAGTCAGAAACAGGAGCAAATGGGGTCTTCAACAGAGAATTGAGAACTTTCAGAGTAAGATTCTCCTTTTTTTTTCCTCCTCCTTCATCTGTTCATGGGTTTGAAATATTACTGGTTTATGCAGAAAACCTTCCCTTCCTGATCCCCATCTTGCTGTGAGGGAAAGCTCACTTCCCATCTCTGTTGGTTCCAGAGGTTTGAGTGATGCACTGTTGTGATGGCCCGTACTCTCCCCTTCTTACCCCTTTTTTGTCTCTTTCCTTTTTCAAAGGAGAGCAGAGGAACAGTTGTCTATTTGTCTTCCCCTACCCTAATCCAAAGTTGGTTAATTCCCTCATCCATGTGGATGTCCTTAATTCCTTCTTGCATCCACGTACCACAGCCAGGTTTTGCGGGGCTTTCACCATAGGCTCTGCTTATGGAGTTGCCAGTCAATCTTCTTGAAACCCCTTTCCATGTGCATAAAAATCTCTACATGGTGTTAAGGGAAGCACCTACTATTGAGGCAATATTATTACTAATAGTCATTCTTGACTTAAAATATTAGTAAATCCATAGAGAGCTGCCAAAGAGAAGCTAAAAGGTAGGCTTGCATTTATAGATTCGTTCATGGAGATAAGGACATTTGTGTGTAGGCAAGATTTCTGCACAAGCGCTAAAGCTATTGACTTCTAGCTTATTTAACAGAATGGAATAATTTGTGTATTTGTATTTGATACATGGGTTCTGTATATAAATATATATTTGTATCTTTCACAGTCCAAACCACAGAAGGACTGTTTATAATTATTAAAGAATTTTAGGTTGTAATTGAGCCAGCTTCCCCTTCCACTGGTCTGGATTTTGTCGTCTTACATGGCTGAATGGATGCATAATTTTAAATAAACTTAAACCTTCAAGCCAAAGTTTCCCAGTGATCTGCCTCTACCCCCATCTGCTATTCCCACTGGGGAAATGAGTGCACACAATATATTGCACTAACACATGAATATCATGAGTCTTGGAGATTAGAATTAGCGACTGTTGCTTGGATGACAGGGTTTTTCAGGTACATTAAGTATTGGACAGTAAAGATTATATTTTATAATCGTTAGGAAAAAACGCTGTCTGGCTTTTTTGGTTTTTTTGGTGTGTGTCTAGTGTTCTGGAGGAAAGGCTCTCATCGGTAGTGTTGATGAGAGTCATATATTCCTTCTTTTTATTTCTAAAGATAATATCCTCTGCTTATCAGAAATCTCTTTGTTTGACAGAGCATCATTCTGTTTGAGTGAACTCGAGGCTCTTGTCAACTGAAGGAGTTAACAGGCTGCTCTTTGTTTTGCATACCTGCAAGAATTGCATGAAAATCAAAGAGCAGAAATTTCTCAAGTCTTCCAGAAATAGTATGTGAATGTTTTTGAATATATATTGAATTCAGAGCAATTGTTGCAAGCTTA